ATGGTAACGGTCGAATCGGAGATCTAGACGAAGAGCGCACAGGTTGCTGCTCGAGGCTCTAACTGTGAAGTGAGCCTCCGCCGCGCTCGCGCGGCCAAGTCGATGGTTTTCGACTTTGAGAATGAGAGTTTGTGACGAACACCTCTTCATTCGAATTGGTCGGTAAACCGAACCTAAGTGGGGGAGGATGTAACGGGGCACGTAGCCCTCAGTGTGCCCTGGTTACATGAAATGTGACACTTCACACTTCAGGTGTATGACACGTCATACTCCGGGATATTTGGTACAAGGTACCAAGGTGGTTCAAAACCAACCATTCGTCAAACGACATTGCATTTCTATAGGTAACTTATAGTTTGTATTAAACCCAAACTTAACCTACCTATAAATATACTCAGATTACAATCTACCTTATTTAGGTCACTTCGCTCTCTTTAAATAAAGAGGGGACCTGTGACCTGCCGTTCACTGAGAGTTTGTATACTCTCGGAAGATAACTTCCTCTAGCGCAAGGTGCTGTGTGACCCCGTCACACTTGGTAGCACTTGTAGTCAATCCACGCCATCGCGGGTAGACTACCTGAACCTCTCCGAAGCTCGTTGCCATGGATAGGAACGACTTCTCCCATATGAACGACTCTCAGTTCGAGTCGGTTCGGAAGATGGCAGGCATCTTCGGGATGGAGGCCTTGCAGAGCCTGGTGGTGTCAACACCGGCTGAGCAGCTGGAGCGCGTCAATGCGTTCGACGCGTACGAGCAGAGCCTCATCGTGTATGTGCGGGAGAACCTGCAGGCTCCGGCGGCTGAAGCAAATCCGCCTCACCCGAAGCCAATACGGCTGAAGGTAAAGCCGTATGAAGGGAAGGAAGGCGAGAACCTTCACTTCTGGGTCCGAGAAGTAGAGCTCGCGATGGACGCGGCTCTGATCTCGACCGAGCAACTGCGTGTTGCCTTTGCACTCTCCAACCTTAGCGGCCGTGCTAAGAGTTGGGTGTACACACGGGAAGCAACATCCCCTGGATGTATCACATCCTGGGCTCAGCTGTGCGAACAGCTCCGAGCCGCGTTCCTTCCGGCAAACTACGAGTACCGCCCGCGTTCGCGCTTCCTCTCGTGTAAACAAGGGAGGCGCGAACTGCACGAGTATGTGCAAGAGATACGGGAGCTCACGGCGTCCCTAGTGGGAAACCCACTCAACGAACACATCAAGATGACTGTGTTCATGGTCGGCCTTCGAGTGGGCCCCGCACGCACTTAGCTGTTCCGGGCGCAGTCAAACACCCTTGAAGAGGCGATTCAAGTTGCTCTACAAGAAGAGTACAGCCATCGCCAGGCGCGTACGCCAGCCTCAGCATGGCCTGGGAGTTCCTTGTCGGCTCCCGGTCGAACAAGCCCCAACGGACCAGTTCCCATGGAACTCGGGTCCGCCGAACAGCGTGACATCCGCTGCATCGGCTGCGGGAAGATGAGCAACTTCAAGCGCGACTGTCCCGCGGAGAGACTCCGCAGACGGTCCTTCCCCAAGCCCGTCCTCAAGGGTCGCTGGCAGAAGCCAGGATCCCGGGGACAGGAGAACGCCGGGAACCAGTAGAGTGGAGCGCCCTACTGGGGAAGAACTAAGTCTTCGTGATTGGTCCGCGGGTGGCGCGTACCACGGGGACTCAGCCCCTGCGAGTCTTCGCACTCTCGAATCGGCAAAGAGCAGCGGCGGATTGCTCGTAGTACACGGATGTGTACAGGGATACGATCATCCCTTTAGAATCTTGATCGATCCTGGGGCGTCGAAGAATTGCGCACGCCGCCAGACGGTTGCTCGCAACAGCAACAAGTTGTCCGATGCTTTGAGAGAAAGCAAGGGCAACGGGACGGTGTCAGCGCGACTGTCCGACGGGAAGGTCGTCACTGTTCCCAACGTCCAAGTGGATCTGGCCGTCAAATTTAAAGACTTTGACAGCCTCGAACAGTTCACTGTTCTTGATATGGATCCATATGATATGTTCCTGGGTATGCCCTGGCTTGAGAAGCACGAGCCCTGGATCGACTGGCGAGGCAAGGCAATCGGTGTCAGGCGCCCTGCACAGTCCGACAGAGCATTGGTGAGTCATGTTCCCACCTCTGTCAAAACCCGGGGCGCCCGTAAGGGCTGCCAGGGTACCAAAGCATCCGGCAGATGCTTGGGAGTCGTCGACGTATATGACGACTCCGAGGATGTTTTGATGGTGGCCGCGCCCAGAAGAGGCGCTGGCCAAGTGGGTAACTTAGGTCCACAGGCGGGTAACTTAGTTCCGCAGACAGCTGCAGCTGTCACGAACACTGAGAACAGCGTGTTCAGAGTGGGTAACAGAGTTCCACTCACGGTCGCCCAGACCTTAACTGAAGAGGAAGGCGTCGAACACGCTTCCTGTGTGGGTACCACGGTACCACACGAGACCACGAGTGCCTCGGATATCGTAGCGCCGACATCCCTAAACGTGGGCAGCAAATCTCGACGTCACGGTCCGCGTCGTCAACGACGCCGCCGCCGACTGAAGTCGGATCCGAACTTCGTTCAGATCGACGTCGCTTCAAGCGACTCGGAGTCCAGGGCCCGGGCTTCTCCAAGGCCGGTGGAAGAGTGTTGTCACATCTTCGATGGCGCGACCGGGTTTAGCCGTCAAGGCATCTGGTGTCCACTTGGAACCGTTGCCAGAGGTTGCAGAGATACTGAACCTCGAGGAAAAGACGGCTGAGTCTTTCCTGACCAACCTCAATGCTGGAGATATTGCTGAGATGGTACTCATGAGACCTGAGACCACTCGGGAGGAGCTGAACGCCTCCTCTGTCTTGGACGAGAACGTCCTGGAAGACGTGAACAAGCAGCGTCAGACGCGCTTGTGTTCTGAGATCTTTAAGAACCCCAAGGATCCGGTGTATCATTTGGTGACGGAGTATACGGACGTGGTTAACAAACACCCACCGACCCAACTCCCACCGGATCGAGGCGTACGGTACGAGATTGATCTTGTGCCCGGCACAAAATATTGTGTCACGAGGCAATGGCCTCTCCCGTGCGAACAGTACGAGGTCATTGATGCCTTCTTCGCCGCGAAAGCGAAGGGAGGCATGGTGCGGAAATCGAAAACCCCCACTCGACACCGCCTTTCTGCGTTCGGAAGCCGAACGGAAAGTGGCGTCTGGTTCACGCTTATAACAAGCTGAACAACGCAACGGTGCCGGCCCAAACACCAATCCTACGTAAGGATGTGTTGTTGAACAACATTTTCGTCTGGAAAAGCAACGCGGCTGCTGACGTGGATTTTGCCGCATTCGTAGCAAACACGAATCACATATGCGAGCATTGTGTGGTGTAGTAGAACACACAAATACCGTCAGATGTGGATTCCTTACACAAACCACAACGAATCGCCGAGTTAGGTCGGCGGTTGTATGGCCTGCGCAGAGGGT